TTAATTCTCAAGTCAAATTAGGTGCTAAATGTAGGTTTTACAAAAGCAAGGTTTCATTCAATCTACCATCGATATAAATGTTTCCATTATTTCCTTTTTACAATCCCCTGGAGATAGTTTTGGGGTTTGTGTTTATTTGCCTTGGCTCTAAATATTACCCCTACATTGCATGCTGCTCAAACATTGAAGCATTTGAGCTCAGATGCTACTGTGATGGGCAACCAAAAAATAACTTTGACAGAGAAACAGACACAGGTAGGGCCGGAGACCCAGGAATTGAATCTGATTAGCCACCGCAAACCTGACAAAGGCAGTTTATGTTTCTTTTCCAAGCTTGAAAGAAGTGCAACAACTAAATAATCAGCATAAAGTAGCAGCGTGTAGCTTCGAAACAGCCCTTACGTTTTAATAAAGGAAGCTATTATTGATGACACCGAACATGAGATATAGATATATATGGATTTAACCGGTCCTTTTAAAAAACAAACCTACAGGTGGGATTTCCTCCTCTCCCCACAAAAATTAGCTTAACATTTCACGTATAATTGCCTCGGGGTTTGTTTGATTCATTGTGTTGAAAAGCAAGGGAGGAATTTATAACCCTAACCCAAGGCGATCAGATAATGTTTAAAAATAAAACAACCGGAAAATCTACTCCCCGTCCCCACCAATCCACCTGGAACCTAAGGGTCTGACAATAATCAGGGCCAAGTAATACTGGAAATCAGACTGCCGAACTGCGGAGACTAGGTGACTGACGGACTGTCTTGAACTCACCCTCCAACGCCTTCTGTAACACCCCGGCTGTAATGGGAGAACAGAATTTGGGTGGCTGGAATTTAAAGGGAATAGGCAGAGGCGTGATTTTAAACAGATCCCTCATTTAAATTCTTGCTCCAAACCACATGTGCCCGATAGCGAATCTGGCAGCAGAACTGTACCTATATTTAAAAAAAATGGATTGGCCTTTTACCCGTGCAACCAACAATAAAAACCCTTCCCAGCCATCATGTAAAGACAGGTGCTTCTGACTTTATTGCCCTAATCAAAAGTGTCTGACTCAAGTGGAATGTGGATTATTTAACCTTCCATTGGCTCCAACAAACGCATTCTCCGTAATGATCAAATACAAACTAATACAGGGGAGGATCAGAATTGCTTTCCACGGGCATGACTCCAGAGCTGTGAGTGGGGACATGGCAAAGATTCAGGAGGATGTTGGCCTTCCCTTTGCTTTTTAAACCCGCAGGTTGTGTAGTGCTTGTATGGAGTGGGGTGTGTGGGTGGAATCCTGAAATGGACTTAAATTGCCTCCGAATGCTTTTTTAATTACAAATACACTTTTCATTATTGCAGAAGAGGGTTCTTTGAAAACAAGAACAGCGCACGGTGCGTAAGTGGTGGGTAGAGGAGGCCGATGTATACCGTCAGGGAGCTTCACCAATTTTAGGCTCTCAAGATAAACAGTTATCCTCAGACGGTGCCTTGGTTCAATCGGAAAGACAGAGGGAGGGGGAGATTAAAAGACAAGCGTGGTCTTTTTATTGATCAGTTCATTTGCCAAAATGCAGTTGCAGTTCTTTTCGAAATGGGCTATAATATAAACGCTTGTACATTTCAACCGGGACAGACTCCATAGTTTAATATATTCATAACGAAGGAGGATGGGGGGAGGTTGGAAGCTGGGGGTAACTGGGAGCTGTTTTAGCAACAGTGGGGTTTTTTTGTGAAGAAAACAAAACTAATGATGTACACAATCTCTTCTCCCTTCCCACCGTCGTGCAAGGACTAAAACCGTGCACTATTAATATTAATAATTATTATTATTATTAATTTTAAATACACCTCTAGAAAACGTAAACTTAGTTTTATTCTTGTTGGGAGAATCCTTCACCATGGTCAGCATTTTCTTTAGTTTGATTAATTATTTTCGTCTCTTCCAGGTTTAAAATAAAAAGTCTAAATCGACCCTCTAACAAATCGCCTCATTAAACAGCCAGATCCATATTCCCCGATCATATGTGACGCGTCTGCAAACTTTTTTTTTTTTTTTTTTTTACTCTCCACTTGATTTTGGAGCAGTGTAGCTGTCCGTTTTGGAAACAACCCTAAAATAAAGATGGAGTGTAAACACTGCCTGGTAACTCCTAAAAATGCTACTGATGGTGACAGGGTATATTACTGGGAAAACCCAGAGATGAAAAATTTCCTTCTGAATTTAACTTACACCTCCAGTCACTGATCTTTCTCTCACAGTTTGATGCAGGGACTGCTATAAAAATTACCACCCCTCCTGGATAACTGAGCACAATTCTGATTTCCACCAAAAATCAGTTCTCTGTTAATGCTGTCCCAGTAATAATAAAAGATTTGCTGGTGCTCCGATCTGGGAGACATTTGCTATCCAACAGTTATTAGAAAGTGGCTAAATACGTGTAGCCATAAATGGATTTGTGGATACAGAATATGGACTTTTTAAGAAGTGCATGCCCGCGTTGGACATTACAGCTTAGTTAGTACCTTTGATCTCAAGAAACTTGATTACGCTTACGAGTCAAAAATTGGCAAACGAGAACCATAGGGAGACGACTGAGAACTGTGCATAAGGAAATCCAGAATAGGCAACAGTTTTTATTGCGCTTGAATTCCGCCAGCATTCTGCGAGAAGCCACGTGAATTGCAACCGACGTTGGCTTGGACTTTAAGCTATCTTGAAAATCTCTCTTCTTTTTATTTCCACACATCTCAGTTTGTAACAGCCCTGCATTGATTTCTCAGACAAAACTCCCCCCTGAGCTCAGGATCGGGCTCACGGGATTCTTTCTTTACTAAAAGCCCTTTGGTTTATCATTAATATTCCATCCTCTTTCTCTTTTTTATATAAAGAGATTACATATGCACAAGGGTTGGGGAACTCCTATTCTGAAAATCTAGCGTAGTGTAGCTGCAGTGTCGTTTTTTAAATTAACACATGGGGAAATGATACTTGTTATTGGCCAGGAAAATACTTATTATTGGTCCGAAAGGAAGCAAGCCCGCGGCTTAATCAATTGAATCACAGTCCTAATTTAAATAAACAACTACATGCTACGTTTAGAGCGTTTTGTCTGTTTTTAAAACCGGTGTAAACTCAGCTATTTCATTGTGAATCCAAAGCTGTCCCATCTGTTCAGAACCATAGGTCCAGAAAGGCAATCGACTTCAGAACATCCACTAGAAAGGATTTTTGACATTTTGCATCGAACATATCTGATGATAATTTTGGTGTTTTAAATATAAGACGAAAGTACACCTAATTCTGTCGTCATATAGATATAATATATTTCACTCTCACCACATAAATACAAAACATCCAAATATCCAAAAACATTCAGAACAAAAGTTAGTAGCAAGTTCTCGGCGCTCGATTCATTCATTATTTTCTCCACTATTGCCTAGAAACGTCAGACGTAAATAATTCACAATAAAATTACTATTTTGTTTTCTGTCCTGCTCTCTCGCTCGCTCTCCAGTTCTGTTTTATAGTTAATTCTCTAAACTACAGCAACCATTCCATTTTTTGTAATTATTTTTGGTTAAGGTTTGGTGGCACGTATTTATACAGTTTGTAAACGCCTTATATTAAAGGTTAAAGAAAGAAAAACTAAACAAACAAATTAGCTAACTACAGAATTCTTTTTTCTGACAAATTCAAGTACTGAAACTTAATATGAAGTAGATCAGAATGCTAGAGTTGGAATAAACACCTTGGTGGATGGAGAAAAATAACTGTAACAAGTATGCAAAAGGACAAACAGGATTGTTACATGGATGTATTTTAAAAAGATATGTTCTTTATATTTTACTTTAATTTTAGTCAAAATGTAAGTAATTTGTGAGAGTATTACGGAGGGAGGAAACCCTAAAGATGTTTAATTTGGATACACTTTGAAAGTATTGGAAACTCAATTCGAAAAAACTGCCATTTCAATAGGTATAGATGCAATCACGCCACCCTCTCTCCCTTACTTTTCCTTATTTAACATGTTTACTTTTACAACATTTTTATGTTATTTTTTGGTTCGAAGAACTAGCTCTTGAAACTAAAAAAAAAGGGGCGTTGCATTATCTCGAAGTGAAAGATTGTTTTTATTAAAAACAATCTAAAGCCACTGTTTTCTGTATCCGCATTTAATGCACAGATTTTAAAGGCAGTCTGTTCCGATCCTTACAATATTCAAGATTTTTTAAAAAAAAGTTGATAGACTTTTTTTTTCTGGATTGGATCTGTATCAAGGGCAAATATAAATAAAAACGAGGATACTAAACGGTTAATGTAGTGCAGTCATCATATACATATATGGGGCCACAAAACCTTGAGCAAATTTGTGCTTCGAGTCACTGAAGTCTTGACAACACATTTAAATCCACCTGATGGTTCCATTTCTATGTCTGTTTGTTTGGAAAGGACTTCCCCATCGGTTGGCATTGGTTTAATTCAGAATGCAGTCAAAATGGTTCTGATTAAACTGCAAACAACTCCCCCTTCCCATTCCCCCCCTCCTCCTCAGTCCGTTTCCCAAATAAAAACGTGGATCATCGTTAGGTTTGCATTGGTGTGATTCAGAATGCAGTCAAAATGTTTGGTTTTGAGCTGCCTGCAAACCTCCCCCACCCTGCCTTTCCCCCCTTACACCCTCCCACGCTAAAATAAAGGGGTCTCCATCACTAACAGTGGTGCTTCCCGGCGGTTTTGTCTGGAATCCGTTTATTTAGCAGCTACACTCGGGTGAGGTGTTTGTCCACTTCATGGTTTCTCCTCTAAACATAGTTCCGTTCCTTGTTGCATTCGGCAATGAGTCTGGCTCTAGGAAAGCATGGTCGTGGGGGGGCTGTTATGGCAGGATGGTGTGTGGAGGGGGGGAATGAAGGGAGGGCTGATGAGATGCTAACGTGTCATTATTCCATAAATATCGCCACAAATAGATACTATAAATATAAATACATGGAGTTACTCAGAGTCAGTCCAGGGCTTTTTTCTCAGCGCCTTCTTTATTGTTGGTCCTGGAGTAGGGCTCGAAGGCAGAGGAGCTCAGGTACCTGGCTGACAGTTCCTGCAGGTTTCCTGCCAGAGATCCGGCCATTGTCAAGGGATTAGAGGACAGGCGGCCGGCCACCGAGCCCAGGAGGGTGGGCACCGGCAGGCTGAAGAGGTTATGGCCGGCGCTGGGCGAGGCGTGGAGTCCCGCAGCCTGAGGGGGCCCAGCCGCGCTGCTCACCGCTGGCGGGTGCGGGGAGCCGCCCGCGGTCCCTGAGCTGGTGGTGCCCGTGGTGCCGATGGTGAGGCTGGGCGCCCGCAGCGCGGAGCCCAAGGCGCTGGTGGCGCAGGGGGGCAGGAGGCCGGGCAGTCCCGGCGGGGAGAGCAGCCGGCCTTGCTCCAGGAGCCGGAGGACGCTGCAGGTGGCGGCGGTCTCCGACACCACGGACCTCAGCTCCGAGTCTTTGCCTTGGTCCTTTTTCTGTTTCGTGCGCCTGTTCTGGAACCAGACCTTTACCTGGGGAGAGAGGCACAGGGTGAGCGGGGCGGGGGGCCCAGCCCGGCGGCCAAGGGGCTCGGGGATTGCGGCATTTCTCCATTTCCCCCCGCCCCGGCTTGACCACTCCGAAACAGGGGGTTTACACTGCATCGGAGAGTCTGGGGCCGGGGGAGGGGAGGCTTAGGGAGTTGAAATGAACCACTCAGCAGCACTTTTTACGAAGGGGGGGGGGAAATCTTGCCTAGGATTAATGAGCTCTGACTTTGGGAGCTGTGTAGCACCGGGAGGCACCTTAAAGGGCCCGGGTTCTCCTCGCCTGCAGCCAGCGGAAATATCGCCGTGGGTTTCAGTGGTAGCGGGATCGGACTCTTTAAATTAGTTTTATTTCAGAGCCAGCCTTAAACTTGGAGCGGGTGGCACACTCTCCCCCCCCCCCCCCCCCCCCCCCCCCCCCCCCCCCCCAACCCGGCGCCGGCCCCCCCCCCCCCCCCCCCCCCCCCCCCGGAACAATCCAGCGGGCCCCTAAACTGCACACTCCGCTCCTCTTCCCTCCCTGGCAGCGTGGAGTTATCGGCTCATCCAGTGACTGTAACGTGGTTCTTCTCTCTCGCTTCCCTTCCAGCTGCCTCTCTCACGCCAAACGAGAAGGTCATATGAGAAGCATCTCATAGCAGGTCAGAGCCCCATTCGCCCCTTTAAAATATGATTTTAACTAAAAGAAATGCAATCTATATTTCTATAGCCTCCGAGACTGTTTAACTTGTCATACCTGTCCCACGGCAAAGAAAGGCTAATTAGCTTGTCAGCGGGATTTATTACACCGGGTGATCTTTTAACGACATACCAGACCGGGCTTTAGAAGTTTGTTCTTTTTTCGTTGACTTTGGGGTTATTCCCCCCCCCCTTGCACTTTTAATTGTTCGAAGGGACATAACTATTCACTGACCAGTGCACAATCATACAGGGCACTCTGTTCACTGCCCTGTCAATAACGCCCCCCTCATCCCCCAAAACAAAACGAGATGCAGTCTCATGGGGCAGAACCTTTGCTATTGTCCACCAATCTATTTCCTGTAATAATAGGTAGGAATGAAAGATAAATACATCAGATTTTAATTCAGTGGCACATACAAAAATAGGACTATTTACCAGCTGTCTATTTTCTGTTATGAAGCCCTGGGGATTTTCTAGCGTTTTTCCCCAAAGTAGCTAATAATACAATTAATTTTTCTCTGTCGCATTACATTATCCTTCCCTTTCGCAGAGGATCTTCTATACAGTATTTCCTTCCCATGTCACCTCCTATGCTAGACACTGTTCCATACACTGCAGGAAGAGATCCGGGGACTCCAAATTACAGAGGGAATTGGTTCACCTTATTTTGCAACAGAGGTTCCGAGCGAAAAAAAAAATCTCTCTAAAAAGTTAGAATCTCTCTAACTTTTTAGAGAGAGAGATTTTTTTTTCGCCCAGAACCTCTGTTGCAAAGTAAGGTGAGCCAATTCCCTCTGTAATTTAGGGACCTGACCTGCTGACCTGATTCTTGTGAGATGCAAAGAATACTTTTTGTTGTTGTCAAATTTGCACTTGAAAACTTAAAATATGGCCGGTGTTGCAACCCCCCCCCCCAGCCAGGTAAAAAGGAAATTTGAAACAAAACAGAGTTTGTATATTAGTCAATTTTAACGCAGCACGATTCCAGCTCCCTTCATTGCCAAATTGCACATGGACAGGTTTTTTCCATGCGATTCTGTGAAAACACCTCCCCGCACTCACATACACTTCAAACATAAACAAACAAACAAACAAAAATCAATGTAAAGCACATTAGCAGGCAAAAATCAAACGAGAAGTTTAGAGGGGCAAGTAAATATATCGAATAGAAAATCATTTATCATCTCTGTATTTGTTGATTATATGCTTGTCAGTAGCGTACTTTTTTAAACTGTTGAAAAGGGCATAAAACTTAATTCGAATCCACCCAACAGTTCATGGGAAGCATTGGAGCTGTGCAAACAGTGACAGCTGCCTGCATGCGGACTTGTGTTAGGAAAGGTGGTTTGCATTGCTTACACTGTATCGCCTTCCAAATCTGGACACCTCCCCCCCCCCCCCCCCCGCCCCCAATACAAGCCCCCATATTTTTGAAAAAAAATCCCCCCCCCCCCCCCCAGCATCATTCTGATAATGCACATTGTGTACTGAATGTCTCATCAGAAACCTCTTCGCCCTCATTTATTGAGTTCCAGAAGAGATTTGCTACATTCTGTAGCTCAGTTTGTGACCAAACCAAGTTGTCAGCTACTTTAAGCCCCACTATTTTCTTTCAGGGTGTAGCAGCTCTCTCTCTCTCTCTCTCTCTCTCTCTCTGTGTGTGTGTGTGTGTGTGTAAGCCTGGGTGTCAGGTTGTGTCTGAGGGTGAATATTCACAGATCACTGTGGTTATGGGTGGGGAAATGGTTTGCCACAAAGTGTGCGCCTGTGTCTGCCAGGAGGCCTGTGATCCTGTGTGAACCAGGCAGTGGGCTCTGGAAACAGAAGCAACCTTGGCCTGTCTAGTCGATGTAAGTCTGTGAGCAGGTGTTTATGTGGACGAGGCTTCAGCTGTATCCCTGAGGAGTGTGTCTGTGCTGGGACTCAGGGTGTCTCGGGAAAGGGGGGGAGGAGGGGAAGAGGTCTCAGAGGTGCCTAGCAGCAGGTGCTTTCTCTGCACTACCTGAGTTTCCGAAAGATTGAGCTGCCGGGCCAGTTCGGTCCTTTCCCGTCCCACCACGTATTGGCACCTCTGGAACTCCATCTCCAGCCGGTACAGCTGCTCCGCGGTGAAAGACGTTCGGGTCCGTTTGGGGCGGTCCAGATCAAGTCCTTTAGGCAGAATAATCTCTCTTATTGAACCTTTGGCATCTGGCAAAGAAACGCGCAGTCACTTTACACCAAGGAACCGCTTTCGGAGCAATGCAAAGAGCTGCCGGGCAACTCACCCAACGCCAGGATCGCTTAGGTTAACCAGGCAGCAATCGGGCTGGTAAAACCAGGGCATCGCATGGGGCTACCGTACCCAGGAAAAAAGGAGGCGCTCGGGTCAGAGATCTGTAAATAATTCCCCCAGCCCGACTTTCTTTTTAAGGGCGTTTAATACATCTCACTAAGAGATCTCAGTGCTGTAATAAACACCAACCGTTCGTGGGCCCTGTTCACTGTCGGGTTATTCGTTGGTGCTGCTGGGTTCTTGTTATTATTGGCTAGCGAGCCAAAACGCAGCTGTATAGCAGTTCCTGGGCAGGACCATTTCGAGTTTACAAAATGTTTCGTTTCACCATGGGGCGGTTTGGGATTTTAAATGCATCTCGCCCCCTGAATGGCACGGGAGAGGCATAGTTATGGCCGATTCTTTCCTCTTTAAAAATGCCAGGAGGGTGAGGGGGAAAAAAAATTAAAACAAACCACACAGAGAAGCCTCACTTTTATTTTAGCACCGGCCTAAAGAAAGCAGGACAAATCTTATTAGCACAACTGTCATGCTAGAGCTAGATTCAGATTACACTAAAGCATTCCCAGCCTTGCTTTCCGTAATTTTACCTCCATAATACACTTTAAATCATAGATAACCACATCATTTCAATCTGACCCCTCTCTGGGGTCAATCGGTCGCGCAAGGATTAATTATTGTTTACAAGGCCTGCTTTGCACTAATTTTATTATAATTCTATTCCCCTCTCCCCACACACCTTAATAAAACGGTAATTTCCACGGGTAATTTGTGCAGAGCACTATAAAATCATTTCATTAGTGGACCGGGAAATGATCCGAAGGATGGGGAGGAGGGAAATAAAAACAGTAAATATACAGAAACCCCATTCAATCCCTCCTGTCTTCTTTTTAAAGCTATGTAAACAGTGATTGTTTAACAAATAATTCTTCCACCGTCAATTCCACCTCACATTATGGACACTGGGACAGAGGACACAGCAGAAACCCCTACATTTTATATCTCCCCTCCACACACACACAAATAAAAAAATCCAAAAAAACCCACAAACAACACAAATGCACCCAGATGCAAAAGGTGAAATCCATTGTTTTCTCCGGGCGTCTCCTTTCTAGTGTCCGAGGTGTGCAGAAGCAGCTAAAGCAAGGACTTTCACGTGGGGCAGGGAATCGTAGGTGTTACAGAATTTAAACAGCGATCGCTGTTTATTCATTGCATTGATCAAAATCACTCGGACATACCGTTAGCCCCGCCGAGGGGGACTTTGACACTTGCAATGCTCTCTGTAGAAGAGGGCACCGTTTGGAAAGTCTATGGCGAAGCCAGAAAGGCCATAAATAATGTATTTCACAGCCACAACGGTTGGTGTTTAAGAGGCACCAAGAAAAAGTGGAAAACAAATGTAATGCAGATAAACTTCTCCCATGAACCAAAGGAGTACATTAATAAAAGATACCAAAAAAAAATAAAAATAAAATCAGACCCTAGAAAACAGCTCTAGACTTAGAACCACTTGCCTCTGGAAATACTGCATTACAATCTACAGCGGTATTTCCCCCTCTGCATCCGTAGTAAAAGAGGAACATCTCGAAACCCCAACATATTTTTTTTATATAAAAATTCCGATCTCTCGCTCACACACACGCAAAATGCCTCCAAAACTCCTACCTCTAACTAGGATCCTCCTGCAATAGTCCGGGTCTGCAGAACTAGATTTACTTTTATTACAATCTTCCGAAACCGCCGAGGCAGAATAAGTCCCTTGTTGATCCTTCAAAAAAGAAGTAGAAATATTTCCTTCAGACCCTTTGCTTTCCTTGCCCTCTTTATGTCCGTTCTTCGAGACCCGGTTCGCTTCAGCCTCTGAATTGCATCTAACGTCCATTTTGTCTTGTTTCCCAAACATGTAGTGCAATAAAAAAAAGAAAAGAAAAGAAAGTCTAGGTTGGATATTGCACAGCCTGCGGTCAGATCGGTGTGGATGTGGAAAAGCCCCTCTCGCCAGGAAGGGTCGGCTTTGATCCCAACAGAAAGGCAGCTTGCTTCTTCCTCAATCCCTGCGTCCTAATGTGACTGTCCAGCTTCCCTGAGCCCCAGTGATCAGGTACTCAACAGTACAACTCCAAAATGATTTAATGTCTGCCTTATTACAGAGACATGTAGTTGTTAGACACACAGAGGGACGCGCACTCGCTGTTTCAATTGATTACGGGTAATTTTGCAGCCTCCACATTTAGGTTACCTCATGAATACACTAAATTGTTTGGATAATATATCAGATCGTAATGGATGGTTTGTGTGCTTGTCCCCAATCAAGTAGAGTTTAGCCAGTGAATAAACTGAAATGATTGGTCTTGCTTTCAGGAAACACACAATCAAAAGACTGAGACTTCCAGAAAGGGGGGGCGGAAAAAAAAAACTTTTGACAAGATTCACCCTGAATTGTTAGCACCATTAGCAGCCATTATTAACTTTCTTCAGTCTGCCTTTGACCCTCCAGATTATATAGTGGCTTTATCCAAGACACACCAAATAAATCTGAATAAAGCTGCTAGGAAAGGCTGGAAAAATGCAGTTGCAGAAAAGCAGCCTGGAGTCTAAACAAAACAAACCAACCACTACACACAAAAAAGTTTTCCTCTGGAGTGGGTCTATCCAAGGAAGCCGAGGATCAGCCCAGCAGAAATCCTCCTGAACACATCTCTCCACAGACAGCCATCTTAAACTCCTACCTCTCCTTAATTCAGTTCAGATGCTTGCTTTCTGTGTGTGTGTGTGTGTGTGTGTGCTAATTCTGCACCTTCACAAACACTGAACCAATTGGTAGAGCTTGCTCATTGAAGGGAAAAAAAAAAAAGGAAAAAAAAAAGCCAGCTTTGTGTTCAGAAAGATCCAGGAGGGGAGAGAGGGAGAGAGAGAGATAGCCCGTGAAAAATCTCCACTGCGTGATCTACTAAAGGATAAAAAAAAAGTTTTACCCTGGCTATTTCATTGTCTCTGCTACAATATCTTTGAGAACCGCAACAGCCAGTAATCCAATAAGACCATTGATTAGGCTACAATGATTCAATTCAAGCAAATGGCCTTGTGCAAAGAGCATGCTCCAGCCCTTCTTGTCACCTTGTAGGGCAGAAGCCCTCTTCATGCTGCTCTCCTTATTCATTCCTTTATGGGAAATGTAGAGCAAAAGGAGTGAAAGATGGCAATTATCTAATTGGACTATTAACAAACAATTCTCTGAGTGTGGCTGTCTGGCAATGGTGCTTGGGCGGGGTGAAAGGCCACATGTTGCACTGGCCCCATTCACAAAGAGTTTAGGGGCCGGAGGGAGAGAAAGAATTTTCTTTGAGAATTTTTCACACAAATCCAGGAGTGTCAGGTTTTCCTGTCTCTCTGTGTCTGATTCTCTGTGTCTGAGGGGTGGCGACTGGCATCTTTACCCAGCTGAAGGTACTGTGCAGACCACTAACATTGCAAACAGCATAGCAAGCCAACATCAGATTGCAGCACCCTGCCCAGTTATGTGCATATTGCACACTGCTCAACTTCGTGGGTCTGATTCTGATCCTATTGGTGTAAGTGCATTGACTTCAAAAGAGTTATTAGTGATTCATGCTGGGATAATTTAGGGCAGACCCTTGATCTATGGCTTAAGTTTAAACTAGTGTAAATAGGCATATTTCAGACCAAGAAATAAAATCAAATTTAAAAAGCGAATGCAATTTACACACACTTCAGATTATTCTGTCTCTAACACGTATTGTTCAATAATTGCCAGGATCATCTGAACTAGATTTTTTTCTATTATAATTCTCAGAAGTGTCAGATGTAGATAAAGAAGTCACTCCTGAGACCTGGATCAGTTCCTGTGCTTTATATATATAATTAATATATATATTATGCAGAATGTCTCTAGCCTGGAACAGGTTTCTTTCTCCTTAAAGCAAATGAATTTCAGCAATTTCTGACAGTTTGTTATTATTAGTTATTCTTTGTTCTGCAGTAGTGGCTAGAGCTTCAAATCAACTGGAGGCCCTATGGTGCAAGACACTTTCTAGATATTTAAGGAGGAAACAATTCCTTCCCCAATCTAAGAGCCCAATCCTGTAAGCTGCTCCATACATGGATGCCTGCACAGGAAGTTGATAACAGACACAACAAATGGATGTAACAAACAAGCAGAGAGGTTAGGTAAGAGAGCAAAAGGTAACATAGTAGGAATATATTTTTGCATAAATGAGGTATATGCACAACATGCAGGTAGTGAGTTATATATCTACATGGTTGAGAGGCGTGGCAGTAGCAGTCCTGGCTGGCCATCTGATTCTAAAAAATTCTGAATAAGACTATTATTTTAAACATTTGTACATAATAAATGTCCTAAGACAAAGTAGGTAATACAGTGTTTTCCATAAAGATCTATTGTGAAATGTAGAGAGAGAGAAATTATAATTATATTTGTATAGGTGTGTGGGTGTGTGTATGACATTTCTCCCCCATGTTTTTAGTTATGCTAATATCTAGGCATATAGAATAATAATAAACAGGTAGTTATTCAACTCAGTTACACTGTTTGAGGCAGGGTATTTGGAGTTTAAACATCAGATTTATGTGCCTTTACTCTGCCTTTCCTGCAATAAAGCACCGGATCCAAAGACCAGCGGAGTTAATGGGAATTTTGCCTTAAATGAATGATCTCCTATAGACCTGGCTATAAAACCTGTTTGTAAACATATAGGTAGCTCTATGTAACACTATTTAGAAAAATGTTTTTCCCCTCTTAAGTCAGCTAAATTTGCCTGCATACATTTAAAATACAATACAGATGCCTAGGGAGGTTGTGGAATCTCTGTCATTGGCGTTTTTTAAGAAAAGGTTAGACAAACACCTCTCAGGGATGGTCTAGATACTTTTAGTGCTGGCTCAGTGCAGGGGACTGGACTAGATGACCTATCGAGGTCCCTTCCAGTCCTACATTTCTATGATTATACTTTCAAAAACCATGAAAATGTCTGGAGTGATAAATGATGGGAAGAATCAGAAATAATCATGGTCCCAGCCTACCTTTTAAACTCTGTGGGAACAAACTTCACCCACAGGGAACCTAATGATTTTAATGGGGGTCCACCCATATTCACTACATTGTAGGATCTGGGCCAATGTTTGTAAACACGGACTATCTCAGAGATCACTTATTAATTAGCTCCCCAGTCACCAAATTTGCTCTCCCCAACACATCTTACTTTTCCCATTACACTTAAAATAAATTTTAATGAACGTTACTTCTCCCCAAGAACTGAGAGAGATGGAGCCTGATTGTACTCTGATTGGAATTAGCATAAATCCGAATAACTCCACTGAGTGCAGAGCTGTGCACTTTATGCTGGTGTGAAACTGGAATTAGTAATATCAGGATCAGACCCAATTATCACTTTTAAAAAAAAAAAACCCTTCAAAATGCACAATACATGAACCCACAGTTCATTCTCTGGAAAATAGATTGTAATATTCCTTGTAGAACATGCTTTCGAAAAGCTTATATTAGTATATTAACTATGTTGATAATACTTAAATACATTGATCTACTAGATATACTACCACATTGATGGTTCCCTGCTCCCCACAGTTTATCTTGTTTAGTATAAAACCATGTGACAGTATAAAGTTTAGCCACTGATTATGCTGCTTTTTTTGTCTGTATTCCAACTTCCTTTCCTTCAGTAACACAGAAAAGCCTTGATTTCTATTGGTTTCCAGCTTTTTCTTTGTCTATGAAATATTCCTGGTTTAGGAGGTCTGAAGTACCAGAGCCTCTCTCATAGCTGATCTTGCAGCCAACATGTTACTGTTTATTTTAATCTGTGTGGCTTGCTAAACTGCTGTTGAGCTATAATCCTTATGCCTGGAAAAAAAGAAAAAGAAAAAAAAACTCAGCAAAAGGATCTTGTGATGTAACCCACTTAGTTTATTGTGTAAAACAGACTCTTATTGGAATAGTTTTCCTCATGGATCTGAGTTTCTGACCACCTAGAGAGCCTGGTCTGAAGGTTCTTTGACATCCAGGGATTACAGGATCAGCCCAAATAGGCTTTTTCTTTGTTTGGAGTTTACAGCCTCATTCGGTGATGACACTTGTCTCAATTCAGAACTGAGATGGACAGGTGAAGAGGCAGTGGATCTCTAGAGGCAGTTGAAAAACACAGAGCTTATGTGCAAATTCTGTGGACTAAAGCCTACTCCAGATGCAGCAGAGGGCGAAGGAACTTGTAACTCGGGTCCTGCACACTTTGCTATATATCTCTGCTCAACAGGGCATATGGGCAGGTTACATAGGGGAAGTAGGAGAGTCAAGGACGGTGGTACAGGATTCCACATTATGCAAAAATGAGCGTCCAGTGGATGAGGTGGAACCAAACGATACTCCAACTTATGAGCTGGAGTAACAGATTCTGAGCAGGCTACTGGCCTCCTCCAGGGGACAGATGAATGAAAATATGGCAGGATAAGAATCCTGCTATCAATAGTTCCTACTCAAATCCCAACACCCTTGTTCATTGTGATAGGCGAACACATGAGAAACGTATGAGAAACTTCCATGGCCATCAAGTTGTTATTTAATGGGTGCAGACCATGCACGTCACACTTTTGGAGAAGTTAGTCTTAGGAAGGCAGAGTGCACATCCCCATCTGAAGGGTCTCCTCTCTTTTCTACAGGTTCTGGTACTGTGCTCATCATTGTAGCTCTGAGCACCTTCCAGAAGTGCATTAAACAATGGGATTAACAACTGTCCAGTCAGGTTCATTCTTTCACTCATCTATTCCTTAAGAGTTGTTTTAACATGTACATGCTGCTTTATGTTAGAGAAGGTACAATCTAAGAAGTGGTCCTTGCACTTGGGATGGAAG